TCACAGACTGTGGTACCCAGGCCTGGCAACAGAATTTGCCAGATCCTGGGCAATATGGTAGCACTCGGCTTTGGGCTGGGCAGAAGGGGCAGAGCTAGGAACATTCAGCCCTCGCTGCCACCTGGACCACACTAGTGCCCTGTCCAGTCCGCAATGAACCACAGGGCGTGTGCTTGTGAAAGCTCTGGAACTCGCATGACAGCCTGTCAAACCCTGATCATTATGAATCAGATTCATGAGTTTTGGCATGCCTCCAAATGTCAGACTTGGAGTGGTAAGGCTAGTCACCAGTTCTCAAGAAGGATAATCCTTCCCTAGCCTGCACAACAGAATTCTTGTCTTAGATACATTAAGCAATTTTAAAAAATCCTCTTTAGTGCCAAGGGCAGACTATTGACTTAAAGGACCAAAAGTCCAATGTGGTAGAGAAAATACTGAACCCAGTCCTGCAAGCCCACTGATGGGGGCTCTGCATGGGGCAAGCATCTACCCACAAAAAACAATGTGGAGGCTCAGGTTGTTAGTATCTACAGGTTGTTAGTGTGATCCTGAGTACCTATAAACTAGTTATACTAGATTAAATCTTCATGCAGTTTAATTACATGTGGAACACAAAGTAATGCCTATAGTTAAGCACGCTGATGAAATTTTGTTCAGAACCAACACTTTCAGACGCTTATAATTTTGTCAAATATTACCATTCTGGCTGATCTGTGGTGTGATTATTGTCAGTTGGACAGAAAAAAAAAAGTAATAGAAAGAGCTCTTTTTTTCCTTTTGAGCAATTCTTGTTGAAGAGAAAACACCCTTGTGTTGCTAGAAAAAGGTTTTTGCAACTGTTGTGTTTGTTTTTGCATCAGTGATTAGTGTTTGAAACATTTCATTTAGCAGGGTCATAGTCCTTTGCTTGCAGTTGCGTCTTTCATTGGTCAAATGAAAAATCAAATTTGAGTTTGAGAAAATTATAAGTGCTTAAAAATCCCTTCTTTTCACACATGCAGAAATTTTGATTTATTCCAGAATATTCCAGCATGCCACTGATAGCACACCTTCATGCCTGCAGAAACCGAGTGGAATTTTTAACTGAAATATGATTTGTGCATAAAAAAAGAAAGTTACCAACAAATTTTAAAATGCCAAAGCTTATGAAACATGATCTGTAACAGAGAATATGACTGGCAGGTGAGGATATGTTTGGAAAGGAACAGACTTCTGAAGAAGTCATACGTTTCTGCATTGTATGGAAGAAGGCAGATATTGATTAAAGCAAGGGCTCCTGCCTCATGGACTGAATGCTATGGAACATAGCCTGTTCTACTTCTTTGTAACAAGCAGTTGGACAGATGGAAGTTTTGTTCATTTTTCTAAAAAAAAAATCCTAAAAGGAATACAAACATTATATTAAAATAATTATAGTTGCAGAGTAAAACACTCAAAAGTCAGGACAGGACAAAATTAAGGTCACCATCATAATTTTTAACTCTGTTCTTTGTGTTTATTCACTAAATGACATGAGACATGCAGGATGGAATAGCATGTGCTCATTGAATTAAAGGCAGTATTATAATGCATTCATACAAAGGGGCAGAGTTATGGTTACACAGACAACCTTCAGGGTGTGTCTAAACTACATGGCTCCATCGATGGAGCCATGTAGTTTAGACACACCCTGAAGGTTGTCTGTGTAACCATAACTCTGCCCCTTTGTATGAATGCATTATAATACTGCCTTTAATTCAATGAGCACATGCTATTCCATCCTGCATGTCTCATGTCATTTAGTGAATAAACACAAAGAACAGAGTTAAAAATTATGATGGTGACCTTAATTTTGTCCTGTCCTGACTTTTGAGTGTTTTACTCTGCAACTATAATTATTTTAATATAATGTTTGTATTCCTTTTAGGATTTTTTTTTTAGAAAAATGAACAAAACTTCCATCTGTCCAACTGCTTGTTACAAAGAAGTAGAACAGGCTATGTTCCATAGCATTCAGTCCATGAGGCAGGAGCCCTTGCTTTAATCAATATCTGCCTTCTTCCATACAATGCAGAAACGTATGACTTCTTCAGAAGTCTGTTCCTTTCCAAACATATCCTCACCTGCCAGTCATATTTTGGCATTTCCCGCCTTTGGAGTCCTTTACATCATAATCCTAACATTCTTTTGGTGCAGTAGAGTTTGTAGGGTATGCACAATACTTTATAGACATTTATTAAAAGTTTAGGGACGGCACATTTTATGGGAGCTATTGCATTCCTCAGCTTGTAAAGCCAAATTTCCTTAATACACGGTGGTGAACTATTAGGAAACCCAGCCACAATGGCAAGACATACATTAGTGCAATTAAAAAGTGGTAGTGTAACTTAGGGATGCAAGCTTGAAGCTTTTTTGTGGCTGCTTTTCCCTTGAACTGCAGCTGAATTGAGAGTGCAGTACCTACGATGATAAACTAAAAGTATGTGAACTCCCTGGAGGTAGGTAGGAAATGAATCTTAGCATTATCCTGGAGTGGACTTCATCAGGAAGTCAATTTTTACATAAACTATAAAACAGCTGTGTTCTCTGAGAAACTAACACTCTAAATCCCAGTTTCACTTTTCTTTATTACAGTCCAGAGTTTTTTCATGTGGCTGCTTTTATTTTTCAAAGATTTTCTTTTAAAAAGACCCTTCTTTCTAGAAAATACCTCCACTTCTGTTCTCTTTATGTTTGAAGAGTAAATAAGCAATGTATCCTCATTACCATTAATAAAATAACTTTAATTTCCACAACCTCTATACTTCTGCAGTAGGAAAAAAGATTCCAAGTTTCAGGAATTCTCTACTCTGCCTTGTCTGTCAGTCATAGTTGTGTAAATAGTTTGTCTCTATAGATTCTTCATATTTGCCAGTCAAACCACCAAAGACCACTGGGGTTCAGGAATCTGGGTCTTTTATTGTTGAAAGACAAACCTGTATCTCTAGAGAATTTTCATCACCTGACAGTGTTAAGAGGACTTATCACCTTTTTACTTGCCATGCAGTAGAGAGCAACATAATCACAAATACATGAGCAAGCAAGCATGATTCCATTAGCAAAAGCCAATCATATAAATACACAACAGCCAGCATGTAGAATCATAGACACATAGGCTATGTCTACACTGCAGGCTTCTTGTGCAAGAACAGTTTTGCATAAGAGGTCTTGTGCAAAAGGTCTTCCACAAGAGCATGTCCAGACTGCCATGCGCTTTTGCACAAGAGATGTGCTTTTGCGCAAGAGCTTCCAGGGCAGTGTGGATGCTCTCTTGCGCAAGAAAGCTCTGATGGCCATTTTAGCCACAGGGGTTTCTTGTGCAAGAAATTCGTGTTGCCTGTCTACACTGCCTTCTTCTGGAAGAGTTCTTGTGCAAGAGGGCTTATTCCTCGTGGGGAGAGGAATAACTCTTCTGGAAGAGTCTCTGTTTTTCAATGCTGTACTGTAAATTTACTTGCACAAGAACATGCATGCAGTGTTGACGCTCTGCAAGTTTTTGCACCAGAACAACTGTTCTTGCGCAAAAAGCCTGCAATGTAGACATAGCCTGAGAAGGAACAGACTTCAAGCAGTCATCAATGCCCCTCCTCTTGCACTGAAGTAAACCCATACTGTCCCTGACTGGTGACTATCCACAAGAAAGGTACATTACCACTATTGTAAAAGTACCTCCTTTTCCTATCCATAAGACACATGTTCACATTGGTCAGTCTAATATGGCTGTTCTGCTAGGATATTTAATAACTATGCAAGTAATGCTGCTGGGTGTCAGACTGATTCCTGCATGTTATGCAATCTGGTGTAATTCTACAAGGGATGCTCAAAAGGGGCAGCAATTAAATCCAGTACTAATGTTGGAGGAAGAGTTTCAGGGTCTCCCCTGAATGATGCTTTTGGAGGTTAGGGGAGCGGGCTACTATGTCCTCTAAAATGTTCTCAGTAAGCAGGAGGATTATTGGTAACAGCAAAGGTTAAGGGGCAGGAAGAGCGCGTCGAAGAGGAGGCTGGTAAAAGGCTTGTAACAGTTTGGTCAGTTCAGACCATCATCTCAATTGGCAATTGCTTTGGTTTACCCAGCATTCTCATGTCTCTGACTTCATTAGAGGGGGAAAAAGCTCTTTTCCATATTAACTGTTTTCCCATAGTTGTTACGTTGTATTGTTCTTTGTTTCTGACCATTCTGTAATACATGTTTAGTGGAATACAACTGATTATTTTGGGCATAATAAATATAAATATGTCATTAAACTTTCTCATGCCATTGGACAGTCTGATAACTTTCACATGCCATTGGGTAGTTTGATTTAATGACACAATGAAACAGCCTTAACAGGGTGTGCACACTTTCTTCTCATTTTTCACTATAATGTGATGTACTCACTTCATTTCCATCTGTAAAGCTGTAGAGCATTTTGCCATACTGCAAGTAAGCTGCAAAAACTTGCCAAGACCAACATTAATCATTGCTGGTTACTGGACATGCAGTGCAACTAGAAGGCAAACAGAGTGAATTGCCAACTGGCTAGCAGCAAGTGTCAGGCTGGGACATAGAGAATGGAGGAGAGAGAAGATAATGTTTGGACTCCAAAGTCCAGGCAGGAGTACTTGATTTTTAAAATAACTTAAAATATTCTATTATCCAATTAAAATATTCTGTCCTTTTTTATTGTTTTTATAACACTTGTTATTTTCAGTGGCACCTGGTCTTGGCCCATGGTGTATTTCAAATTCTTCTTCAGTGGCTAATAATCTAACATGTGCCAGGCACAACCTAGGCAAGTTTGCCTTCCTGCTTCACTTGAAAACAAAGATCATTCCAAACCGCAGAATTCAGATCTCACCTTTATTCCATCTCTACTCAACATCAGGGGTGTTGTGACAGAAGGGGTGGTTCTATCATAATTTGAACATGCTTCACATATAAATGAACTTTTCTGTTTGTGCATTTAATTAGCAATTTGTTCCCCTCTGTCTCTGAATAGGAGATTCAATAGTAATACTGGAATACAAGAGAAAGGGCAAATGAAGCTTTCTTTTCAAAGGAGTGCTCCTTCCATGAATTTTGAAACCATGAAGTAGTAAAAAAGAAATAACACCACGAAACTCCTTCTTCTACGTACTTTGTCTTCTGGTGAATCCATTTGGTCATCACCACCATGAAAACTGGTGGAAAATATTAAAGAATAGTATTTTACAGCCTGGTTGTGAAACAAAGTAACTGATACGAATAAGGAAATGCATACATCTGTGCACAAGATTTCTCATCCCTTGCACAACATATATGAGGATATGTCTGTGGTAAACTTGTAACGGGCAAATAAATTACCTCATGATTTTGCAGTGGGACTTGGACCACATCTTTAAATGCCCTGTGAAAGCAAGCAATCTTTACTCAGCACTCGCTTGGCTCAACCAATGTTTTTCTAGAAGTCCAGTTGGAAAAATAAAAGAATAATAATTTTTTCAACCTTGCCATGACTTCCAAACTGAAAAAAAGATAAATTATGCTAATGAACGACTTATTAAGAATGTTTGCTCAGCCCATTCACCATGAAGCTACCATTTGTGCAACAGAAACATTCTGGAATATTAATATGCATAACCTATTCTTCTTAGTTTTCAACAAGAACGTGACACTTTTTCTTTTTTTGGGGGGGGGTTTCAGATAATCTTGAAGCAAAAATAAGCTAAGTAATTACACTGACCATATGATTGCTTTGACAGAAAGTATGTTAATTGAAAGCATGGTTTAAAACAAAGCTGCCTGAAATAAAATTATATTACATTCATATGTTTACTAACCTTGCTTGATATGTTTGATTTTTATTACTAGCCTCAACATTTTGTTAACTGGAAAGGTGCTTTGAAATCCAAATAAACAAACAAAAATATATTCTGGAGTGAAAGTGTACTTTAATGGTCAGCATAAACGACTATCTCTGTACTTTTAATGATGCATTTAGATGACGATTTTAAACTAGCTGGCAGTACTTCAGTGGGTAACTCCTACTTCATTGACATGCCAATAGCTCAGCACTGTAGCACATTCAATTCACTAGAATGTTGTTTGCATCATTGGAGTGCTGCTACATCTTACCAGCCATAAAAGAGAAACATCCAGGGATTAGCTGTTTGGGAGTAATACACAAAAACTAAAGGGACATGCATGTGCTCTTCTCACATATTAAGCACCTGCTAACACTTTAGACTGGGAGCTTAACATAACTAAATTGCACAGCATTTTATGCCTAAAAGCCATGAGGAGACCCATGCAGCATAGCTATTTTCAAGTTACCTGCAAATTCACTTTGAAGTCTAGTGGGGGAGGGGAGAAATATAGTTTTTCTTTCTCTGCTTGAACTACAGGGAGAGAACGCAGGAGAAGAATAGAGTGATTTAGAAGGAAGATGGGGAAAAGACAATCATTGGAAAAGTTGAAGGGAAAGGCAGGCCAAAGAAACAAGTACAGTGAATTAAGGGAGAAAAATGAGGGAAAAATTGAGAAGACTTACTGTAGAAAGTAAAAAAAGAAGTCTAGTGCCAAAATATTACCATGAAATGGATATTAATGCATGATAGAAATGTCAGGGACTTGGCTCAACAAAGCATAAGATCCCAGTATTCCTGAAGAGAAGATAACTTGTTCTGGTTTCATGTGGTGGGGCACACTGTTCTTAGTGATTTGGGTATACAGCTATTAATGTTTAATAGAACACAATCCAATTTATATTAAATAATTGTACTTTCTCACACTTTCTTTTCTTAAAGTGAGGTTCTCCCCTAAAAAATGGCTTGAAAAATGGCACCACGGAGTAGTACATGGCTGGTGTCTCAGTGATTTCCATATCCTATGGGCTCTGTATTCAAGATGATGTAGTTTCCTAACTGCCAGTCCCTCAAATTCCTTCTATGCTCTGAGAGTCCAGCCTGGTTCTTTCAATCTCATGGATCACCACCAGTCGGAGGTTCTACTTGCCATATCATACCAGCAACTACCCTGGGGCCATCAGGCTCTCTTCGGTCTACTACTTCTGTTAGCTCAGTGCAAAGCTACAGAAGGTAGAGAAGAATTCTATAGGTTGCACTACATATCCGATGAAAGGATAGAGTTCTCTACTTAACTGCATTTGAGGGAGATATGGGACCTGAACTGTGAGGTTAAATTCAGGACAATGAGATGTTTGTGCATAATTCTGGATGTTCAGCCCCTGGGCTCCGGTTTGGGTCTAGGTCCTTCTTTCTGATGCATACACAACCAAGTAAGAAGTGAAAAATTACAAGCTGCATCTGAATAAACTGGTATAAACTAATATTGCTCCCTTGATTTCAACAGAGCTGTGCTGATTTACACCAGAAGAGCAGCTGGCCTTAAATTACTCTTATACAACATTTTAAAACAGCACAGCCTAGATGATGTTTCTCTCTTTCTTTCGAGTAGGCTTGCAAAGCCAGTCAGAACTGTTTATATATAGCTGCAGATATTCATGGCTGTATAAATTAGAAGTTATTACTGAATGAGATGCCCGCCCACTCACACAGCGCAGCTGTACATTAATCCTTTCACACTGCTTGGCTGCATACAGTATAGAATCAGAGGAACAATGACATGCTCCCAGTTTAATGATGGGATCACTGCTCAACCGGTAGGCAAAACCCCCAGCAATTAATTGTCCCCCTGAAGCACAATGTGCAGAGTACAACCGGTACAATTATCTAATATTGTTTAGACCTGCCAGTTTGTGTGGTACAGACACAAAATAGAGGGGTAAGTGCGTTCGATGGAAAAATAACTATCCTTGGACTTCTTTTCCCAAAGAAGTGTTTTGTAAGGTGAAACCGGTGCTCATTAAAGGACGGCAAAAAGAACCACTCCATAAAAACCTAAGCACTGCCATGCCACTAAAAACAAATATTAGAAATCAGTATCTCCTGTCCTACAAATTGCTGGTCTTCTCTCTCAGCTTGACAATAGTTAACCTGGAAAATCCCAGAACTTATAAGACAGTCCATGTAGACCTCTAAATGTAGCTGAATCATCAGATTAGGCTCTTCTACCAAGTTACAGGACTTGATTCTTACCCAAGTCTAGGGTAACTCCCCTTCCTTTAATGAAGTTAATTCATGTTTATGTTGGTATATATGAGACCAGAATCTGGCCTATAGAGAAGATGTATAAGCAAGAATAACACCAACTAAACGCTCTACAAAGATAATCCTGGGAGGCTGAAGTTCAATTTGAGGCCATGAACTTGTTTGCAATGCTTATCCCATTATCACTCAATACTTTCTTAGATTGGCAAGTCACAGTACTGATTTAAAGATGAATTGGAATATAAGAACTACAGTTACTCTCTGTGTAGGATTAAATTTGTAGGGACATTGAGTGTCATACTGATAACAGGAAGCACTGATACTTAGGTGCTGATCCTGTGAATTGATCCATGTGGGTTGACACCCACACCTGTGCAGTACTTGATTGAGAGCAGTAGGTTTTCACGTTGGCAGTGGGCTCCAATCATGCTTGGAGAACTTGCAGGATAAGGCCTTAATCGTGGGAGCAGTTATTCAATACGCTGATTTGTATTATGCATGGGAAGTTCTTCATTCATCATAGTGTACACTTACAAAGGATCATATTGGTACAAATTTGCACGCCCATGTAAAACAAATGCCATGAGTGAGTGCTTATTCTATCATCTCCATACCCAGTTAGTGCAAATGCTGGGTCACACTGTATTGCATGCAAAAATGTAGAGACGGAACAATGGCAGCTTTGAAAACTTGGTACATTATTTGTTTTGGCACAGATTGTATCACTGTGCCAACATAAAATGTACGTGAAGTAACATGGACTGACTCCTGAAAAAGGAAGTTAAAAACCCCCACCTCCTTAAGGGACCATGCAACCTCTAGGCCATGGGTTCCTAAACTGGGGGGGGAGGAAGGGGGAGGGGGAGGGGGAGGAGGTTCACTGTCCTGGTCAGGTTTTTTTTTTCTCAACACGTTTTGATGCTATTTTGGGGGATGGGGTGGGTGTGAGGGTTTCTCAAAAATCAAAAATGGGGCGTGATGCCGAAAAGTTTGGGAACCACTGCTCTAAGCTGTCCTCCTATTGCTGCCTGTTCTTCTCTGGATTGCAACCGGTCCCATTAAATCTTTCTGCCTTGTGGTTGCAACTGGTCAGGTTTTTTTTTTCTCAACACGTTTTGATGCTATTTTGGGGGATGGGGTGGGTGTGAGGGTTTCTCAAAAATCAAAAATGGGGCGTGATGCCGAAAAGTTTGGGAACCACTGCTCTAAGCTGTCCTCCTATTGCTGCCTGTTCTTCTCTGGATTGCAACCGGTCCCATTAAATCTTTCTGCCTTGTGGTTGCAAAAATGTCTTGACACGTGTGACTAGAAAGTCCATCAGTCACAAGGACTGGTGTTCTCCACCTATTTTTATTTCCATCAGATTTTTTCTAACCACCATTTCATAAAATTTGAGATGGAATAAGTAGAGAAGAACTAAGAGGGGGAATAATAAATAAACAAAGATTAGTAAGGACAAAAACATTTTTAAAAGAATATTTCTTAACTGGCTTTGAAGGATTAGTGTTTATTGATAAATCTCAGTAAGCATCCATTTCACTGTATGCACAAATCAATGAAAAAATATTTCCATGAATAACTGAAATTTACATAGAGGCAAAGAAACAAAAATGCAATTTGAGAACTTAGAATTTGATTTAAGAATATTTACTTGGTATATTTTGACATGATGTTTATTATTTGAGTTTTAACAGTTATAACACATTAACTTTTTGAGCCTCAACATCTACTGTCATGAAATAATTATGTGACCTCCCCAAATAATTCCCAACAATTGTGAAAATTTAAATAGAGAAAAATTTTAAAAGTTCTTTAATATTAATATCTGACACAATTATTAAAAAAATAAAAAAATAAAATCTTGTCACAGCTACAATATTATCATGCTGTTAGTTTCAAGTGGCCATGCACCCAAGAAGTGGACTATGATGTCACTAACATGTTTCAATGGAGCAGCAACAGGTAGAGGAGTATGTACTTTAAAACGCTATATCAGGAAGAAGCCAGTCGCAGGAAGAAGCCTGGAATTAACCATGAGAGCTGAGCAAATACAATTTGTCAGATTAATTATTCAATGAGTAATGGCAAAAGTCACTGAATAATTTATTCATATCCTTTTTTTTATTAGTATTCATCTAGATCTACTACTCACAGTTACTTCACATAAAGACATTACTGTCTGTATATATTGGCATTCATATTAATAATCTTCATCCGTAACAAGTTTTGTTCTTGAACCGAAGCCACTGCTTTATGTCTGGACTCGTTCTTTTTCTGCTCTTTGTTTCTTGGGGTCAAACAACTTATTAAAATGATAATAGGCCAAATCCAGAAGTGTGTATTCAATTCTTTGTTCAAACTCCCAGAGTGCAATGCTGTCTTCACCGACTTCATTGGAATCAAGGGTCTGCCATCCAGGGGAATGAACAATTCTGAAAATCTTGACACATATTTAGATGCCTTAATATGGATTGTCTGTAGGTTCCTCAGCCCTAGAAACTCAGTTTTAACAAACCCGTACGAAGTAAAAAACTTCAGGGTGTGGCTGAGTAACAACAACAACTAATACTTGGCCTTGCTACAGCCATTTCTGTCCAAGGATTTCAATGCATTTTACAAACGTTCAGCCTCGCTTTCTTTTGGGAGTGACATTTTACTCCACTACCCTGACATCATTTAAAGGGCAAAGTAATTTCTCATAGTAAGAAAAATAGCTTTTATGCACAAACAGACTTAGCTACTTTGGACATATACGGTAATCTGTTTTCACTGTCAATGAAAGGCTGG